CAGTATTTGTGGTGCTTTCAGGTTAGTGCTGCCCCCCTCCAGCTTGACCTGAGCACCCTTGCCACCGATATGCCCATCCTTGGTAATCATTAAAGTGGTGTCGCCTGACTTGACACTGACGTTGCCGTTCTTGCTCTCCAAATGCAGGTTGCCCTTGATTTTGTAAATAATGCTGCCCTGGTTGGCATGGGTAACCATATCGCCCTGATTGACAAAGATTTTGCTGCCGCCGCTCTCTACGTGCGTAAACATGCCGTTTTTGGCAGTAAATTGTACTGTGCCACCACTGAGTACATCCATATCGCCCGCGCTGTGCAGCCCCAGGTGCAGCCCTGCACTGTAGACCATGCTGGCAGGCGTGGCATTAAGCTGCCCGGCCTGGGCTGAGAGTACCAGGTGCGCTTGCGCATCATCCCCCTTGTCTGGGGTAACGGTACTTTGTGCGGTTTTAAGGTTGGCCTTGCTGACATCTGCCCGGGCTACGGTGTTGTAGGGCCTGGCCCCTACCTGCTCTGCCGCCTTGCTGCGGTTGCCGCTCCAGGCCAGCAGATTATCTATACTTTGCTGCTCACCCTGGCTGTATTGCACCTTGCCTGTATCCCCCGGCTCTGCGGGGTTGGCTGGATAGGTGCTTATCAGCATTAAATTGCCACTGCGTACACTGCTGTGCAGGTCACTCCTAAGCTCCCACCCGCTGCCACGCACTACGTGCGGCGGGAAGTAGACATTGGCTTTGTTCGCTCCCCCACCCCAGCCCTCCCCCGCTGGGGGAGGGAGAGAGTCATTCGCCCCTACAGGGTTGGGGTTAGCCTTCTCCCCCTGCCCCACCAAAGCACCCATGTTAAGCTGGGTAGCACCGTGCGGGGTGGCCAGTTTAATGTGTTCGTTACCGCGTTCATCCCCCATGCGCAGCTTGTTGCCCGCCTTGCTGCGGATGGGTAATACCCCCCTTATTAACATCAATGTAAAGTAGAGGGTTGTTGAATAGATTTCTCATAGACCGCCAGTTTTTGGGCAGGCGTTAAGCCACCCAAAGCCATACTCGGTCTTTCGTTATTGTACTGCCATTGCCAACGCGTAGCTTCGTCTTGTGCCTGCTCCAGGGTTTCAAATATGTTTTGGTCAAACAACTCATTACGCATGGTACGGTTAAAACGCTCTACATACGCATTTTGCTGTGGATTGCCAGGCTGGATAAACCACCACACTATGCCTTGTTTTGCAGCCCATTTTTGGATGCTGTGGCTGATGAACTCAGGGCCGTTATCACTCCTTATCACGGTGGGTTTGCCCCGCCACTCCATTATCTGTTTGAGGGTTTTAATCACTCGGCTGGCAGGCAGGCTCAAGTCCAGTTCTGCGCCCAGCAGCTCACGGTTAAAGTCGTCCAACACATTTAGGCTACGCAAACCACGCCCATCGCTCAAATTGTCATGCATAAAGTCTATAGACCAAACGGTATCGGGCTTGGCTGGTGTTTGCAGCTTTTCTGGCTTGTCTCTGTCCAGCCGCTTGCGTGGCTTGATGCGCAGGTTTAGCTGTTCACGGCAATATATCCGGTACACCCTTTTGTGATTCCAGGGTTGGTGCTGTACGTGCCTTAAATTCATAAACATGAGCATAAAACCCCAGGTTTTGTGCTCATGCGCCAAAGCACGAAGTGCTGCGGCCAGTGCTTCGTTTGCCGCACTGTTTGTGGGAGCGTAATTCCAGTAAGTTTGGCTTATTCCAGCCAGTTTGCAGCTTTTGCGTACACTTAATCCGTGTTCTGTTTGTAGCTCTTGCGCCACCTGTTTTTTCTCAGGTGGCGTTACCACTTTTTTGCCAGTACCTCCTTGAGTATCTGTGCGTCCATCTGTGCCTCAGCATACATTTTTTTAAGCCGCGCATTTTCTCGCTCCAACTCGCGCAAGCGGCTTATCATGCTGGCATCCATGCCGCCAAACTTGGCTCTCCACTTATAAAATGTCGCACTGCTTATGCCATATTCTCGGCACAGGTTGGGCACGGGCGTACCAGCTTGCGCTGCCTTGAGTATCCCCATCACTTGCTGCTCGCTGTATTTGCTTGTCTTCATCTTCGTA